TATCTTACTCGAATCGATTATAATCGAGTATTATTCCATATATACACCAGCCAATTTACGTCCAAAATTTGTCATCCAATCTTATCAATTAATAAATATCTGAAAATATCAAAAAAACATATTATAAGCTTCGTCAATATTAGTATTACGCTATGACGTATATTCCGCGAAGCTTGTTTGCTCATCGCATCAGCAAGATGATATCACTGTGTCTTAAAGTTGAGATGAATGATCGTCGCGCCTCTGTTTGTTAAGCGTTCATTTCCATCTTACGTCCTATCTTTTATCAACGAAACAACGTTTTTACTATATAACTAATAAAAATGTATATTATAGTATTCGTATATAACGTATAGAGTACTTTTTATTGTAATTTTCAAGCTTGATCATTTTCAATAAATTTTATTGCATGTCGATCGTAACGAAATCAAACAATACTGAAAAAAAATTCAATTTTTCTTTTTCTTATAATTAGCCAAGAATAAACTTCGACGAAGCGTGGATTTGATCACGTTATTTATTCTTTTCCTTATTGTTAGCTTGCAAACGAATAGACAATAATTACTATCATTATCTTCATTGTTCGTTAAAAAAAATGTACCATCGTTTTCCTTACTAAATCGTTTCCTAGGAAATAGCGACAAATCTCGACTACAACGTTAATCTGCGCAGTTCCTGTCTGAAATAACGTTTGTTACATGGTTATATTCTTTAATATAGAAACAAGTATGGAAATCAAAAACGTGCGTTATGATCCACGATGATGATAATATACATCATTAAAGAGAATTCATATTTTATGCGATAAGATCATTCAAGAGTTATTTTTTTCTTTTTTCAAAGCATATTCACAAAATTAAAAGTTTTTCCGTGAATTTTTTTTTTATTCTATGAAAATAACAAATCTAAATTTTTGGATTTTTTGTGATGCTTTATCATTATTACACTGTTAATTAATTGAAAATAAATTTATACAAAAAGTTTTATATTTTTCTTTTTTTTTTTTTATAAATATTTGCCTATAATTTGATGTTTCTAGAAAATTTCCCAGTTACTTATGTAAATGATTTCCCCTGTTTTATTGATCCATAATCTAATGATCCAATACGAAAAATTCGAGTAAATTTGTTTTTAATATGATCAATATATCGATACGAATTAGACTTATATATATAAAATTAAATTAAAATTTGTCAAAATCATTCACGCTTAATGAAAATTTTCTACCGCTTTTCTATGTTTTTTATTTTATAAAAAATTTGTAATTTTGTACCTTTCACTATAAATTAAATTCTTTTTAATATCTAATGATGTAAAAAATAACGTATAAGAATTTTAGCATAACGAGTTTTATAGTTGCTTTTCTTTTTTTTTTTTTATGAAAGTTAGAAAAATCGTGTTTCGAGAAAAACGCATTCATAGTTAATATTAAATGAAATGATAACTCATTTATAATTCCAAGAAAGAACAAATTATTTATCGAAGAAAGTAAGAAAAAAGAGAAAAAGAACGGAAAAAAATTTGCAAACAAACCAATTTAGTTCCGCTCATGCTTGCGCATGGTGGTATTGCATATACGTGACACACTAATCCAATTTCCATATGTGCAGTGCGTATATACAACTTATCAGAATCGTGGTTTCGCGTGTTTATTCCTTTTATTCTTTATAGTTCTTTCCTTCGTATTTTCGCCCCTCTCTCATATCTCTATCCTGACTGCTTAACTGTGACTATATACACAATAATATATGTGAATGTTTCCCTGAAATCAAAATTCCTCGATTATATCATTCGTCCAAAGCTTCGAACATTTCTTCATGCGATCTATAAGATACAATAAATCTATTCTTTGAAAAACGTTGATGAAATGATAATAAATTTTGTATATTGATGATTAAAAAAGCAGCATTGTTTTTATTATTTTTATTATTATTAATAATCAAATAAAATAGATTTTTTTCAACATGAATAAAATAATTTTTATGGAAAATTATATATCAAAAATACGTTTATTTTGAACGATACAGTTTTGTGAGACTTTGAGCCCTTTATCTTGTTAACGATGTCGTAAGAACAATAAAATGTGTATTGATGAACTTATAAATAGGTGTATTTGTGGATAAAAATTTGAAACGTTCGGTGACTTGAAACCGGTCACTTTATTGTATACAAATTCGCCAGGTAAGAACGGATAGGTATTTCCATATTCGGTTCGATTGACTCTCGTGAGAATCGACCGAGAGAATTAATTATCACTTGAAGAATGCCATAAGTTCGTACTTACTTACGTGTTTCAAGCAATCGAGCAAGTAATTTAATACTACGATAGAACTTGGTACAATCGTGAAATCGGGAGTCGATGTAACAGAAAAAAATAAATGTTTCTTTTATATCCCGTGTATCCCGTGGTTAGGTTCTCTCTCTCACCCTGTCTCTCTCTCTCTCCCTCTCCTTTTACTTTTATTTCTTTCTTTCGATTGGCTGACCTCGTCACTTTTTCACCAAACACTCATAATTACGAGAGACGAATTGCTTTTGTAATAATCCGACGCGCAATGACAGATCATGTTCCAGATTGTTTAACGACTCTTGGCTTAATACGATTCCTGTCGAACTATTTTTTTCCTACTGTCAGATAGTAGAGAAAAAAGAAAACAAATATGTCGATCGCTTTTAGTTACGAAATTCTCGTGGTAACCGTTCCGCGTTGGAAATGATTACTGCGTTATTGCGATAAACAAAAAGTAAACGGCAGATATGGAAAAGATCCGAGAAAAATTGTAAATATATATTAGGAAAGAATTTTCTTACTTTTTACCTGCAACTTTCATTGCAACGATTTGAAAATTGTTTGATAATAATGGATTTTTGAATTTCATTATAATAATTATGGATGTCCAAAGAAGCTCGCGAAAAGTATCGTAATGTGAGAAGCTTTGAGAATAAGGAACACTTTGCACGAGAGTGCCATAGCACGAGGAAGTGTACTTTCCACGGAAAACTTTCTTTGGATCGTTCGCACGGGCTATTCAGGATATCCGTTTTCTCGCGTGTGGGAATAAAAAAAAACAAAAATTAGAAAATCAGGTGATCATAGAAATAAAAGAAAAATATATAAAAGAAAAGAGAGATAGAAAGAAATAAAGAAACAGAAAGATAATTTCAAGAAAGTCCATTGTATGTAAGTATTACAAATTATCGTTTAAAGTACACTCTAATCAAGATGATTATTTCGGTCTAGGGAATTTGAAGAAGATGACTAAACGAAAGAGAAGAAAATTGAAATGCATTCTCTTTCCTTTTCTTTTCAATGATTCTCTTTATATTTGTTGTTGTGCATGCGACACGTGCGAGTATTTACATATCGACACACTCGGATGACGTTATTTTACCGGTAAAATGAACTCTTTGTAATTCTCATTAGTAAAGAGTAAACGAATATGCAAATTCTAGTGTTTATCATGAGCTTGATGAAGCAGAAATCTTCGATTTTCAGTGAACGAGAATGTCGAAGTTTCGATAACTCGGTCCAACAAAATGGCAAGACTAATTCGAAGTAAGAACCTCTTTCACTTGCAAATGTTCTTGCGAATATTTCGTACAATTGATATAGAAGAAGTTTTCCTTTATATAAATTGTATAATGGAAACGGAGACTATCTCAAACTTCTCTTCAAAAGTAACTCTGTCTGTCTGTCTGTCTGTCTGTCTGTCTGTCTCGGTATCTGTCTCTCTCTTCCTCTCTCTCTCTCTCTAAATAACTTTATCTTCGATTTTCTTCTTCGTCGTTTCAAATGCTAGTCCTTTTCATGTCTGCTATTGTGGAATTTAGTTTGCATTATCAATACCCTCGCAATACTCTCAACAAAGAAATTAATTCAAAATAATAAGCAAATCTATTGATAATCAAATCGTTAAAAGTTCTCATGAGATTTTAGATATAAATACATTATATATATTTTATGATTATCTTACGTTCATCCTGATCGCTCAAAGAATATATGTAGTTTATCTACGATAATTTGTAAAAGGCTAATTTTAATCAAATAATTATAGCAATAGAGAGTAAGGTTAATGTTTTTAAATAAACTTATCATATATTTTATTTGATCTATATTTGATTTTATTTTTATTTGTAAATTTCTATAGAAATTCTGAAATAACATAAGAAAAACATTAGAATTATTAACGAATTAGTTATATATTACGTAGTCGTCTCGTTACGATTTCACACAATATTTTTCCTCCGAGGAAATAGCATGTGATTTGTATAAGTGTGTCGTGAGACATACGCACGCTAGATTCCTTAAAATGAACGAGTCTCGTCTTATATCTCGGAATGTTTTTTCTTCTACTAAAAGCCTGCAAGAATTGTACCTTGGAAATGATCTCGTCCGGTTGCTTTTGAAATGTGTGCCTTCCTTTTTGCGGCTTTTTCTTTTCTTATAAATTCATTTCCTTTCTTTTTTTTTTTTTTTAAATAAATTCAATATAAATATTATTACTCGATTAATATTCACTTATCTCTTCATTTTTTATTACTATAATTAACGATATTGTTTCTGTTTTCAAGAAATTTATAATAATTGTTAATAATAATCGGAAGAAAATATTTATATGTATAAATAGAATAATATATACATTGCTTTTACATATTATATTACAGTATATCTATTGGAATATCTTTATTTAGAGATATATAAATTTTCTTTTGAAAAATGTTGTTGTATTAAAATTGTATAGAAAATTGTTAATAACTTAACGAAATATGAAATATAATTTCTTTGAAAAGAAAACTTTCATCGTAATAAAACAAATTAAAGTTAAATATTGTCTAGAGGCTTTTTTTTCCGGGTGCTGAAAAAGCATTAGAAATTTTTTATGAGGATAATTAAAATGGAAAAAACATGACAATCTTCTTCTTATTAAAAGAATCACACAGGCATACGTCATATTCTAAATACGAAAGAGGAAACAAAATAAGATAATTGAAATACTCACGTTCATAATCCAGCCGCAAAATTCCTGGGACGTTTGACTCGTGACAGGTATAATTATAAAAGAAACAAAAAAAAAAGAAACCAAAAAACAAAAATTAATGCCGTCTATCGCGCATCATAATCGAAACTGCAATTAAAACACTTAGGCTCGGCACTGATACTCTTGTTGTTGTTGTTGTCTTTGTTATTGTTGATTTTCTTATTTTGAATGAAATGGTGTCACATACATATGTATACGCGAGATAATTCGTAAAAATTTGGAAGGATGAATTTTTTTGTAGTCGTTGAGAAAATAAATCCTTAATAAAATGTCGAGTTAAATGAATAGTTAAAAAAATAAAAGAGACGATTATTATGAAGGAAAAGTGAGACAAGAAAACGAAACGAACCGTCACTTACGAAGGATGACCATCGACTGAAGCGCCCCACGAAACGTTAACTTGCTTAGCCAAGCCTCCCGCGCTCGGTTACGCTTCGAAATTCAAAACGCGCACACTCCAATGAGAATTCGAGAAGAATACTACCATATTACTCAACCTCCATGGGGATGTATCTATATGTTATCTCAACAACAAAATTCGACCAATTCTTTTTCAAATCTTATTTTTTTCTTTCATACGAAATCAAAGAATATTGAAGATATTCTATGCGATATTCAATTATATATCAAAATTATTTATACTGTATGATAATCAATATTTTTTTAAATTGAATATTGCATATTCTAAAGCTTCAAGAAAATAAATAGTATTTATACAATATATCCGTAATCTGAAAATAATTATTGAAACAGTATAAATAATTCAATCCGCTAAGATTATACTAAGTATACCATACGAAATATAAGTAATGAATATCATATTGATATTTTTCTATATTCAATATTAATCTTGATAAATATTTACTCATTATTTATTTTTATCTTATAACGTTTCTTTTCATAATTTCATATAAAAACAAATTTGTTAGATCTTCATAGTTGAATACTCAATCGAATAATTTATCACTAAAAAGTAGCAAGCCATTACCGACCGCAGTTCGAATCGAGGGTGATTTCTATTTCTTTTTTCTTTCTTTCCTTTCTTCCTTCCTTCCTTCCTTCCTTCTTTCCTTTCTTGCTTTCTTCCTTGTTTCTTTCCTTTGTAGAAGAGAAATGAAAGAAACATGAATGGAACTAACGAGAGGATAAGAGTTATCCCGGTGGAAGCTTTTGTTTACTAGGCGTAATGAAAGAAAGGACGGTAATATGTCTTTTTGTCGGTGTATTCGCATATTTGCATTTTACATGCTGTGACTGCAACTCGATGGACGGGAATGTCGCTACAAACTTATTATGTCCTTTTTTACCAATGATTTATATGAAAAATTTGTTCATGAATATTGTCTAATGCTTGTCCGAATCGTTATAGAAATTTCCCTCGTTTTCCTTTACGCTTATCTACATTTATACTATTTTTTATTTTATTTTATTTATTTATTTTTTTAAGATAAGACATCGTGGTCACAGATAAAATAGTTAAATTGACCTTTTGGTACCGATTTTTATTGATTATTATTTATAACTCATTCGAATTATTTCGAAATATTTTGAATTTGGTAGACATTTAAAAAGAATCCGAAGAAGAGACATTCGCCAGAGGGAAGATACGAATAGAGCTACTCTTACAGATTACGAGAACGTTGCTTTCTCATCCATAATATTGGAACTTTACGAGATTGTCATAATTGAATTTTGTTTACCACTCCCTACGATGGCTTATGAAAATTTGGAGATAGATAGAAGGTATAGTATCATATTCTTATAGTATACGATCTACGTATCTGCAACGAAAAATTGAATAAATAAACGAATTTAAATGATCATTTCTATATAATAGTAAAAAAAAACGATTATTATAGTATTTAATAACTTGATTATAATAAAATTATAAAGTATTTGCATTGAAAAGAAGCAAATGAGACTTTCGTTATATTGGTAATGTTGTTCATAGGAAAAAATTGTGTTTAAGTATTTACCAACAATGTAGACTTGATCGAGCATCATTAATAACAAAATATCAACTTTCCCATATCGGGTTCATCGGCGATAGATACATGCCAAGCAAAATTAATAACTCGCTTCAAATAGTTCCGCCGACGTACCACGAAAATCAATTAGATAACTGTATCAACTGAAAGTTTCGAACTTACAAACGAATTACAATGCTTTAAAGAGGATAGAGATAATTGATCAATGCTAAGGGCGATAGATTGATATGAACTGTCTATCTTATATCTGTTTACTTTATATGACTTTTAATTTCACCGTAGGTTATTTTTTAAGTGGAGAAAAATTTCCGATCTAACGTTAGAAAAATTTATTATCAGATGTTTCGAGTGACGTATTCCTGATACTTACTTGGAAAATTTATGATGAAGGAAATACGAGAATTCCCGGTAGATCGTGGTACCCGGAAGCAAACTGGAATGAGATAGAAAGAGAGAAGGGAGGAGAAAAGGAGGTAGAGTTTGGTCCGTTGCCGTTGGCAGATGCACGAAGAATTTCTCACAGCATCGCGGCCCAGTTTTACATAACTCTATAGCATTATCCGCGTAAATGTAACACGATTCCACGTAAACTTATGTTAGTCGTACTTTTGACGGACATTGAAGAACGCATAGCGACCGAGAAAGTTGTACGCAAATTTCTGTTTATCTTGCAAATCTTTCGTTCTAAGGAAATTGAACGGTTGCATAAAATGATGAGAAGTAATGCATTTCTCCTTATTATTGCATACTTACTGTATTCAAGGGCATACAGTTGTAGTATATCTTATAATCTCAATATTAATCTTGGTATACAATAGAATAATAAAATTTTATTGCTTACTTTGTTATTATCTTATTTTCCTTACCTACACATATTGACGATTATATTCGAATTAAATAAAGATAAGTTACTTTATTTATTAATTGCTTATTTTAATTTTTGAAATGATCCTACATATGTATATTTAATTTATTTATACAATATGTTCTAATGGATTTGTTTTCAGTACGGATTGGAAAACATGACATTTTTAAATTGATATACCTTTACAAAAATGGAATTATACATAATGTATAATTGTTCTATGCTTAGGCCATAGCGTTGTGATTGTTGTATCATGAATGATATGTATATGACGCCTCTTAGTAAGTGGTCATTGTACCGTGATCTCACAAATAGGTCCGCCATTCTTAAATGTGCAGAACAAATTTTTTACTTTGATAAAAGGTTCAAATTAATCTCAGATCAACATTTTGTCTTTCAATTTCAATTGGAAATTCTTTGTTGAAGTTTTAATATATAAAGGATTTTCATTTATTAATAGTATAATTTATGTTAACATTCATTACCAAAATATTGTACATTTCAATAAACTTCTTAGATTTAAATTTAATAGAAATATATTTTTGATCGAAATATGTTACTATAATAACTTTAATATTTTTCAATCAATTTTTATTGCCTACTTGTTATAGAAATACAATTCACGTCATGTCATTATATCAGTATAATGGAATATCTATCTTATGCGCAGTAACACTGTAATTAAAGGAAAAAGTAAGGAAACTATTCCCATCTTTTTCATACTTGAAGAATTGCAGCTATCGCTTTTACAAGTTTTCAAAGCACAATTTGTTATCTGCATATCTTTAATGCGCATATCTTGACAACCAAAACTGTTCTTCATCATACATCCTCGACCTACTACTTGCTTGGAAACTGTATCTATAATATAATAAATTCAAATTCACATTTGAATGTCATATGATACTGAATGAAATTTAATGATATATAAATATTTATTGTAAAATGATAAAATGAATAAAATTTTCAATAAATCTCAAGACTTTAACGTACATATTAGTTACTAATGATTATTTCGACATTTAAAATGAGTTATATGATATATATTACTTACCATTTTGTACAGTTACACGTAACTCGAAGCATTCATACGTTTGGTCTGTAGAAGTGGGAAGTTCTTCAAGCAAATCTGTTTGTATGCGTAACAATATTAATAATCTTCAAATATAATAATTAAAAATTTATAAATTATTATTAGTTGTCAATTTAGATAGTTATATGTTATAGAATTTATTGGATGTATTAAAAATATATTATAATCCAACTCTATTTTGTATGTACATATACAATACCATTAGATATAAAATCTGATTTCCCTAGATTCAATACAGGATTCTTTGCCATCGATGCTCCTGTCGTTCCTTTTGTCGTTCCTTTTGTCGTTCCTTCTGTCGTTTCTTTTGTCGTTCCTTTTGTCGTTCCTT